AGTTTTGATTTACATTTCTCTAATAATTACCAATGCTGAACATCTTTTCATGTGCCTCTTGGCCATCTGTATGTCTTCTTTGGAGAAATGTCTATTTAGGTCCTCTGCCCATTTTTTGATTGGATTCTTTTTCAAAGAACCATCTTTTCATTTCACTGATTTTCTTTAGTTTTTCTGTCTTCAACTTTATTGGTTTCTGCTTTTATCTTTATTATTTTCTTTTCTTCTGCTTTCTTTGGGTTTAATTTGCTCTTTTACTAGTTTTTAAAAATTACCTTTGTTCTTTTAATATTTAATTTTAAGTATATACAATTTGATTTTTTTAAAGATTTTTTTTGATGTGGACCATTTTTAAAGTCTTTATTGAATTTGTCACAGTATTGCCTCTGTTTTATGTTTTGGTTTTTCGGCCGCGAGGCATGTGGGAGTTTAGCTCCCCAACCAGGGATCGAACCCGCACCCCCTGCACTGGAAGGCAAAGTCTCAACCACTGGACTGCCAGGGAAGTCCCTAATTTGATTTTTTTTTTGCGGTACGCAGGCCTCTCACCGCTGTGGCCTCTCCCACTGCAGAGCACAGGCTCCGGACGCGCAGGCTCAGCGGCCACGGCTCACGGGCCCAGCCGCTCCGCGGCACGCAGGATCCTCCCGGACCGGGGCACAAACCCACGCCCCCTGCATCGGCAGGCGTACTCTCAACCACTGCGCCACCAGGGAAGCCCCCCAATTTGATTTTTAACAATGGCTGTGTTCCACAACCAGCTCACAATGTTTCTCATATCCACACGCCTCACACACTGCTATGAGCTAGCTCCATCACACACTGCTTCTGAGTTTCTCTCTTCACAGGTGGCCTCTTCCCTCAGCTCCAGACTCTCTCCAGCTGCCTATTCAGCATCCCCACTGGAATGTCCAATCAATATCTCAATACAAACATGTCAAAACAACACCCACCACAAGGCCCCAATCTTTTTTCCCCTACTCTTCTATCCTCCCACTTTGTAAACAGCATCTCCACACACCAGTTTGCTCAAGTCCCCAGGTAGGGCTTCATCCTTGACTCTTCTTTCCTCACACACCACATGTAGTCAGTCAGCAAGTCCTCTCAGCTTGACCTTTAAAACACATCTGGAGTCTGACCACTTCACACCACCTTCTCTATCGTCACCCTGGTTCACACCGTATCAGCTCTCACCTAGATTCTACATCACACCCCGCATGGGCCTCCTGCTTCGTTCCTGCCCATGTCATCTATTCTCACCACAGCAACATGAGTGATCCTGCTAAAATGTCAGTCACGTCGGGTCTCTCCTCTGCTCACAACTTTCCAATGGCTCCCATCGCAAAGAAGCTCAAGTCCTTACCAGAGCAGCCAGGATCTGCCCTCCCCATGTTGCTTACTATTCTCCCTTCCACTGACTCTTGCTTTTCTTCCAACACCCAGCCATGTTCCTGCCTCTGATATTCCCTTGGTCTACAAAGCACTTCCCCAGATCCCCACAGGGCTCACTGCCCCGCTTCCTTCTGTTCACACAGCACCTCCTCAGAGAGGCCTTCCCTGACACTCTTTAACCCCATTTCAGGTTTTATTTTTCTTCATAGCTTTCAGCACTCACTGTCGGACATCATATTACATACTTATTAGTCAGGGTCTACCCCACACACACCTCTACTGTTCCACTTACCACTTCATGCCCTAGAACAGCACCTGGGTCCTAGTAGTCCTAAATCAGATTTGTTTGTGAATGAAGGACTGAATAAATGAATTGAGCAGCAGCCAGGAGAATGCTTAAAACTCACCCCTTGCTCCCTGCTGTATCGGGACGAGGGTGCACTCCCTGGCAAGGCTGGTAGGCTGCTGGAGAATGTGGTCCCCTTGACTTCTGTGGCTCCACCGTGGCCACCTGGCCCTTCACCCCTGGCACTTCCTCCACCTATGGTGAACTTCTGGGTTCCTCAAATGGACCACTCTCTCTCAACCTCAGGCCTTCTTCTATCTTCAGGCTGGAAACCCTTTCCCCACTCCACTTGGCTTGCTCTTCAAATGTCCTTCAGGCTACAGCTTGGCTACCACTGGCTCTGGGAGGCCTTCCTTGACCTCTTCAACTAGGTGAGGGGTCTCCTCAGCTCCAACTGACCAAGGCTTCCCCTACCACAGTATATGTCACGCTCAACTGCTTCCCCAGCAGACTGTGAGCTCCCTGGTGGCAGGGCCTGTGATTTACTAATCTCAGGCCAGGGGGTGCCCAACACAGAGTAAGTGCTCAACAAATACAATTTGAATGAAAGAATGAATGAACAAGTGGATTAATAAAGACCAAGCCTGCTGAGGGATGGGGAGAGGACCTAGGCCCCCCACCCTACTCCCCCCACCCCTGTCAGCCTCCTGCACAGAGGGCCTGGTTCAGCCCAGCTGAGGAGCAGGGAACCAGCAATCATCCAGGGACTACAGGGTGTCAGCCAGTCAGAGCTCTCAGTCCAGTCCTTTCCAGAAGGCCAAGAGCCTTGGGGCCCCACCACGTGACAGGGGTGGGAGAAGAAATAAACGGCTTCCAGGCCCTGGCAGGAAGCTGAATCACCCCAAGTCTGGTCACTATGCCCGCCCGCCATTACCACTTTCTGCCTAACTTCAAGCCCAGGTCACACTCCCTGGGCACTGTTCCCAGGATGGCACCCAAAGGGAAGGCAGAAAAGGGCTCCTCCTAGACCTGCAGACAACCATCACTGATGAACTGGGTGGCAGAACCAGAATCCACACCCATGCAGCCTGAGCCTGAGCCCTGGGTCACACTGCTGCCTGTGTCCCTGGAAGGTCTGCTTCAGGGTCCAGGACCAAGAAGTCAGAGGCCCATGATGAACCCAGATGAGGCCACTGAGAAGACAGACTGCAGACCAAGCTTCACCCGCCCTGATGCCTTGTCTGTGTGTATGTGAAGTGGAGAAGAAGGGAGAAACGGTCCCATCACCCGTCTGTGGCAGCCTGGCACTGGTCTGGCTCCCCTCTCTCACCTCCCATATGCTCTTTTCTCGGCCCCAGGGTCCCCTCTCCCCAAGAGTTCATGGCCCCAAATCTCCTTTCTGCTTTACAGGTATGCTATTTTATGCAGCATACCTGAGGGCAGAAGAGATACCGGGGTCCTCAATTAGGCCTCTACTAGTGTCACTCCTTCCGTGGGAACCCCTTCCCATATCCCAGATCAGACCCTGGTGGTTACAGAAGCTTCAATGGCTCTGGGGATCCTCAGTCCTAGCCTGATACTACCACAGGGGCCTCACAAGCCCTCCTTCCACAGCTCCCCACATTTCTGTCAGCCCTCATCCCAATAGTGCACCTGCTCCTACAGCCTCAGTGCTCACCTCTGCCAGGACCGAGACTCAGACCAGACTTATTCCCAAGTCCAAGCTCCCCACTCTCCACGTGCCAGGGCAGCCCCATTCCCCTATGTCTCACCTTCCCCCTCTCTCAAATCCACCTGAGAGTCTCCTGACACCCTCTTTAAAGAGACTCTTGACCTTGGCCTTAGCCAGGTCCCAACACTTCCTTTCTGTACCCTGCCCTGCTCTGCCATCTCTCCTGGCCCTCCCACCACGGCCTGTCAAATTAAAATGATACTCTTCTGAGCCAAACATTTAAGTTTTCCACAGCATGGTCAGCCCAGCAAACTCCAGCTCTGCCACTCACAACCTGTGTGATCTCAGGCAGATCATTTAGCCTCTCTGGCCATGATTTCCTCATATGTAAAATGTACTTCGAAGGCTACTGAGAGGTTTTAAAGGCAGTGAGTCAGTAGGTATCCAACACTTGATAGACTTTGGGTCTGATCCCCACAACGGCTGAGCCCTGAGGCATCCTACCCTGGCTCAACAGACTCCTGCTTTCCTCCCACCCTCCTGGGAGAGCTCTCTGCAGCCAGCAGCACTCCCAGGCTTCCTGTGTGTTGTGGCATGAGGTGGGCAGGGGAGGGTCTGAGGCCGAGCAAAGAGACTGCAGGGAAGGAAGCCACCAACTTGCCCCAGGTTTCTCTGGCCCTCAGTTTCTCCTCAGCTCAGTGAAGCTGAGATTTCTACATGCAAGGCCAGGATGGGGAGACTTCTACATGGAGGCTGGGAGGGGCTGCCTGAGCAGCAGGAGTGAGCCTCTGGTGCATTGGGAAAGGCAGAAAAACAAACGCACCAGAATCCAAATCAGGAAAGCCCAGCGCAGGGGTTGCCATGGCAACCTGAGGCAGGCTCCCGGCTTCTCTGGGGTGGGAGCAGCGACTTGTCAGGCTCGGCTGCCCCTGCCTCCAAGGCCGCCTCCTCCAGCTCAGTGCAGATCACCACGGACACAGAAGAGGGGCAAGGGCACAGAGAAGCACCTCTGCCCTGTAAGGTGGGCCTGGCAGGCCTGGGCTCCCACTACCAGCTTTATCGAGATTACTCCTCTCCCAGAGTTAGGCCTACACCCAAAGGCCTCCAGAGGGCACGGAGCCACCGCAGTCCCACCACCCAGGCCCCAGCACCAAAAGCTCCAGCCTCGCCCATCAGCTGCCTGGGCTGACACGGCATCCCTGCGTGTGGAGATGCCCTCAGGCTTCTGCCAGTGCCAGTGGCCTTGAAACTAATATGTAGGCACAGGATGAAGGGGGCAGTGAGATGATTACCCAGACCTCCCGACATAGCTGGGTGAGGAGGTGGCAAGCACGAGTGCCAGGCACTGGTGTAGTGCTTTATGTATGTTTTCTCTCATTTAATAGCATTCCCCTTTGACAGATGAGGAAACAGCCTCAGGGAAGTTAAATGACTTCCCAAAGTCACAGAGCCACTCACTGGCTGGTAAAGAGCTGGGTCCCAACTGGGGTTTTCCAACTCCTGGGCCCAGACCCTTCCCACGGGGCCTGTTACTGGATGCCCTGGACTGACCACCCAGCACGTCACCAGGGGACCTCAGGGCGCTATCACCCAAAGACCACCAAAACACTGTGCCCAGTCTGCACAGACACACAGTAAACAGACAGACAATGGCCTTCATGCTTCCATTTAATGGCCAGGCCAGCACTGCCCAGATGATGCCCAGGCCCCAGTGGGGAAGTCCTCCCTCCTAGCTGGTATCCCCTGAAGAGCCCACCCCAGCCGGTGCCCCTCAGCCTCACTAGCAGCATCCCGGTCTAGTCCCAGTGGCAGGGGCAGCCTCATCTTAGCTCCTTCAGCAAGCTGTTGATAGAGCCCAGGAGTTCCCAGAAGTAGCCCTCATCCTCGCCATCCTGGAGCTCCAGGGCAGCCAGTGCCTGGTACTCAGCCTGGAGGATGACCAGCGTCCTGTTGAGCTGCGGGTCCTGACGGTAGCGGTCCCGACAGGTGGCCAGGAGGGCACCCAGTGTTTGTAGCACCTTTTCGCGGGCATCGTGCTCTGGCAGTGCCAGGAGGTGGGCAGTGATCTCGCACCAGCCCTGTTCCTGAAGGCCTGGCAGGAGGTGCACCTGGCGGTACTGCTGCAGCTTCTCTGGGGAAGTCTCCCGCATCAGCTCGGCCTCCTCCTCAGCAAACATCTGCCATCCACACGGCCAGGGGCCAGGGTGTGGGAAGGGGAGAGAACACACAGAGAGCAGTCAGCCCTGCCTTTTAGACTCGAAGGCACATGGCTGACCCATGAGTCTGCACCCTCTTCCTCCTTCCCCTTGGGCCTCAAAGGCCCTTCATGGGAGAAGGCCAACTGGACTCATAGCTTCACACATGCTCTCCAGCCCATCCATATGTCCACCCATCTGTCCATCCATCCACTCATCAAAAACAACTGTGTAATGTGCCAGGTGCTGGAGAAACCAAGATGGAGACATGGTCCCTGCCCTCAAGGAGCTCAGGATCTATCAGGAGATTAAAAATTAACTGAGTAAGTCCTAAATATCATGATACATTTCATCCAGCAGGGTGGTGTGGAGGCAGACAGTCTGGATTCAAATTCCTGCTCCACCACTGACAGCTGAATGACGGAATGACCTTGGGCTAGCACTTTGCCTCCCTAAGACCCAATGCCATCATCTCTTATGTGGAGGAGAGGACGTAACCCCTTCAGGACTGTTGGGAGAACTCAGTGGGACAGTGACCATGCAGCCAGTGCCCAGCACAGAGAGCACACCCACAATGTGAGCTTCGCCATCAACAAACGTTAGCTGTACCAGCAGCAGCATCACATCACCATCACCACAACTACAGATCCACTCCCTCACAGGAGTTAGGGCACGGGCGACAGAGGAGGCTGGCAAGTCCCTGAGCCTTGAGGGGCTTGTGGGAGTTGACCAAGGGGATAAGGGTGTAGGGTCCACAGACACAGGAGGGTTGCAACAATAGGCCTGGGCCCACCTCATGTTTGAAGACCAGCAGGCTGTTATGGTCGATGGGGCACGAGGGCCAGGCTGGGGCCCAGAATGCTCGGAGCCCTGGGAGTCCCTGGCCATTATGCTGAGGGCCTGGGGAGTTGAGGAAAGTTTGGGCAGGAAGTCACATGCATGGCCTGTGTCTGGTAAGTGCAGAAACCCAGCCCCATCAGAATATGGTGGGAACCGATCCTGCCAGGCTGCCAGAGGAAACACCTGAAACCCGACAAGTTACCAACTTATTTCACAATGCAGAGTACTAATCACTATACGATCACGGCAAGCCACCAGGAGTCTACCAACTTATTTCAAATGTCAGAGGAAGGCTATGCAGAGATGGAGGGTCGGCAATGGGTAGAGATGTCCCATACTGGTTGTACTAAATGTACTTGCAAGAAGAAAGAAGAAATCACTGCCCTAACTCCAGGGGAGGATGAGGCATGCAGATGACAGGGAAGGCAAGAGGGAAGCCCAGAAAAAGATCAGGGGCCACAGTGGAGAACCTGGTGGCTGTGGCGCTTGTTGGAGCTGGCAGAGGAAGCAGGGGAGGAGGGGGGTCAGCATCCTGGGACAGAAAAGGCTGAGAGGGATGGAGTAGTCCTTTCCTAACCTACTCCCAAGTCCTGCCAGCTCCACCTCCAAACACATCCCAGTTCTCCCAGCTCTCTGCCCCATGGGCGCTGCTCCTCACTGCACTTTTGCAGTCTCCTGCCTCCTGCTCCCAGCCTGCATCCTCCAGTCCTCTGACAGCAGACAATGACACAGCCCCAAACCCTTCACAACTTGGCATTTCTGATGATAAAGACTGACTCCCTTCACTGGGACTTGGAGGCTCTTCAGAATCTGGCCCTGCCTGCACTTGGGCTCCTCCCCACACATGCCCTCACTCTGGCACCCGTCACACCAACTCTCCCCCAGGATCTATGTACGTGCAGCTCCCACTTCCAGGCACCCTCTCACCCAACACTGACTCCACAGTCAACTTGACTCACCCCTCATTTCTCACTCAGCACCTCCTTTGACTCCCCAGAAGAGGTTAGGGCCCTGATCATAAGCCTCCAGGGCCTACATGCTCTAGGAGATTCTCTGATAAATGTCTGCCTGAAAGCACCAGGAGGGCAGGGATCATGGGGCTGGCACAGCACCGGCAGGGCAGATACCCAGTCACCACCTGTGGAAGGAACCAGCGGGCAGGTCACCCCTGCGGCCCTTCAGCTCCAAGAAGGCACGAGAGGACGTGGGCTCATGACCACAGGAGGGCATCCCAGCTCTGCAGGAGCCCAGATGTCAGGGCATAGGAGGGCCCACCAAGAGCCAAGGGACAGAAGAAGAAATGCCTGGGGTCTGGCAGACCACAGAAGGGGTAAGCCGGTGAGCCAAGGACCCGAACAATCTGAGAGGTGGTCCCATACTCTCATGGGAATTCTGCCTTCAGCTGCTACCTCCCGACACCAAAGATGCCCTCAAGGTGCATGGCACCCCCCGGTTGGCAACCTGTCACACCTCTACCTTCAGGCAGCTCTGGACCCATCCCCAGATGGGTTTGGCTAGTTTGATTAGCTCTTTATTCTCTCTGAGAAACCATAAGAACAAGAAGCCCTGACTGCCTCAAGTGTAAAGTATGGCTGCCATCTGTTCTAACACTCTCTGGCTGAAACTCCTCCACGGTCCTCCACCTGCAGGAGCATGGCTGTCTCCATACTGTTTGCAGAGAGACGCCACTCCCTCCCTGATCTTCACAGCACCCCAAAGCCTCAAAGGTCGGCTCCGGGGCCAGCTGACTCAGGGGCCTGCCTCTCACCAGGGCAGCCTTGGTGAGACTGCCAGTGGTAGCTCTCCAGGGATGAAGCAAAGTCACGGTGCCCGCTACGCCAGGGCTGGGGGCAGCAAAGAGACACCCAAGTCACAAGGGCAAAGTGATAGGTTTCTCCCGGGAAATGCCAAGCCTGTGTACATGTCCTTCCCCTGGCTTGCTGGCCCACTCCCAGGATGTCAGCTGTGCCCTGGCCTTATTAATTGGACGTGAGGACCACATGGCTGCCTGCTGTTCTGAGAAACAGGGTTTCTGCAGCTTAGAGGGGTGGAGGAAGAGAAAGGGGGAGAGGGGGAGAGAGAGAGGGAGAGGCTGAAAGACAAGACAGGACAAGAGAGACAGAGTGAGTGAGTGCACACACACAAAAGCCAACAGGTGGAGAGAAAAGCAGCAACAGACAACCCTGATCCTTGGCCTGAGGCCTGGCGGGAGGGGTGCGCAGGGGAGGGCCAGGGAGGAAGGGCTGGGCCCCTCTTCCTCCAACATTCAGAAGTGGTTTCCAGCGGCTGCCCAGCCCTGCTCCACTAATCCGCAGTTGGCTGTAGGGAGAGTGTGGCCCCAGAGAGGCAGCTGAGAAAACCCTGCCAATGCTCTGCAGCAGCTGAATTAAGAATCAGCCCTGGCTGGTTTTACCCTCTCCTTAATTAAGACACTTCTCAGGCTCAAAAACACCAAAGTGGGCTGGGGACCAAGTCTCCTCCCAGATGGCAAGCCCGTGGGTCCCTGGGTCCTTCAGTGGCAGCCAGTCTGAGCCCCTGCCCAGAGCCAAAGCTCCCAGAGGAGGCACCTCCAGGTTTCTAGAATCTTAAGATTCAGCATCATTCCAGCCCCTGGCTCCTCAGTCTCCTGGCTGCTGTGACGGCTCCCAGACACAGCTGCTCCTGGTCACCCGCACCCTAGGTTTCAGCCAAATGACCTTTTATTCCATGAAGGGCTGATCCTGGCTGTTTCTGGCTTCTGGTCACACTAACCCTTCATCATGCTAACCCCTGACCACTGCCAGTGCCCCCTCCTCCCCTCCCACTCCTCACCAGCCCTCAGGTTTTAGCTCAGCAGTCACTTCCCACAGGACATCTGCCCTGACATCTCAGAAATCCTGGGCTCCACAGCATTCCTGTCAGCCCAGCTCAGGGCTGGCATGTTTGCTCAGGACACTCAGCTATGAGGATGTAGGGAATGGATGGAAGATATGGGGAGTGGGGAGGGTCAAATGGCCAGAAACAAACACAAAGCAAAGTGCACGGGAGGCAGGACAGGCCTGGGCACTCACCTTCTCAGTGACCAGGTCGTAGAGCAGAGTGACCACGCGCACGGCCAGCACCTCCATGCCCTTCTCCTGGACCAGACTCCTCAGCACCTGCAGTCCCCCCAGCTTCAGGAACTGCTGCTGGGCATAGGGGAAGTGTCGCAGTAAGGAGCACAGGGCAAACAGAACCTGGGGAGGCACAGATCCAGATGGGTGAGGGGCCACAGAAACTAGGCCTTGGGGCAAGCACCCAGAGGTGCCCCAGCTACCCCAGCCCAGGTCCCGTTCTTCCCGGCCCCAACCACCACCCTTGGGTATAGCTCACCCCAGTACACAGGGCTGTGAGAGCCAGGAGAGATATCAGACACCTTCAACACCACCCAGTGGACAAACGGAGGCCCAGGGCAGGAAACCAGGGTGTTGAACCTGAGACTGCACCGTGGGAGCAGGCCTCCAGACGCCTCACATACTGCTGTGCTGCTTTAGGTGAAGGGGACCTCTCCCCGTACGCCACCCAGCGGATGGCCACTCAGGCCCCCAAGGGTGACGTGTACAACCCGGAAAGGGACCCTTGTCTTTTAGGCTCCATGGGTGTGCTGGGGTCTGGGCGGGAAAAAGGCAGCAGAAACGCACCTTCTTCTTTGCAGTGAGAGACTGCTCCGTGGCCAGAACGACCAGCAACTTCTGCAAGGCTCCTCCCTCAATGGCCTCCACCTGGACCTTTGGGTTGCTGGAGGGGGAAGCACAGGAAAGCAGGACTTTACACCTACTCACCAACTTGGGGGCACGCCCCTGGGCCCAACCCAGGTTAAGAGGGCTACCACCACAGCAGCCATCCCTGGGGAGGAACAAGGTGCACAGGGGGTGTTCCCACTCTGGACAAGCTAGAACTTATCTGGGGAAACAAAAACAAACTGGTGTAGGTCCACCTGGGTACAATGGCTTATGGCACAGACAACAGGGCCAAGGGCCCCAGGCCAGTGTCCACTCCCTATCAGCCAATGGGCTGGGGTGATCTGGGAATGGAAATCACTGCTACCATTTTAAGATCCCTCTGATGCTGAAGGTGCTACTTCAGTGTCCCTCCTATGGAAAGCCTTCCTCCACGCTCCTCAAGCCAGCCTTACGTGCTTCCCCCTTCCATGATCCCAGGTGCATCACACTCTGGGGGAATCACTAACGATCTGTTCCCTTCAGGGTGTGTAGCTCCAGGGCCAGGGACCCCTTCCTCTCTCTCTCCTCCTGGGTGGAGCACACAGACAGTATAGAGTAAACACTTATGGGAGGGAGGCAGGCAGAAAGAACAACATCCAGGGAGCCTTTGCATCCCTGAGTAGATCCTAACCCAGCTGCCTCCCTGCTGGACTCTCCACTATGTGACAGCAGCTACTATGATTGTCCCCGTATCTCAGCACTCAGCACAGGGTCTGCCATGGCGTAGGGCCCTGGACAGTAAGGAGTGAATGAAGCAACATATGTGTACAACCATGACTGACTGCATCAACCAACAAACGGGCAACACTGAAACACAAAGAACCCAGAGCTGCCTCTGGAACGCCAGTCCCCATTCTGGGCTAGAGAAAGAGTGATGAGCTTGGGGCTTCCCTGGTGGCGCAGTGGTTGAGAATCCGCCTGCCGATGCAGGGGACACGGGTTCGTGCCCTGGACCGGGAAGATCCCACGTGCCCCAGAGCAGCTGGGCCCGTGAGCCATGCCCGCTGGGCCGGAGCGTCCGGAGCCTGTGCTCCTTAATGGAAGAGGCCACAGCAGTGAGAGGCCCGTGTACCACAAAAAAAAAAAAAAAAAAAAAAAAAAAGAGTGATGAGCTTTAAACAAATATTTCAGGCAAAGTGCTCATGGATGAAAGGATGGGGGTCCTGGAGGGTGAGACCTCCTCTAGGGCAGGGTGCCAGACAGGGACATGGCTGGGAACCCCTTACTTTCTAAGATCAAACTGATGATGAATTAAGGAGCAAGTGCCAAGCGCAGAGATCTGTGTAGTTAGGCCTTCGAAGAAGGTCAAGATTCCTTCATCGGCAGCGTATGAGGCCTCAGAAAAGAAAGGTGGCAGGCATGTAAAAAGCCTGAGACCAGCAGCAAGGGGAGAGGCTGGACCAGAGGTGAGACAGTGGCTGTCACCCTCACCCAGACAGCAAGCACACAGAGGGCACCCAGTCTCTTCTGGGCCCTGGCTGCCTTATCTTAGCATGGCCACCACAAAGTACCCTGGAGACCCAAAAAGCACCTGTTTCTCCTAACCCACAATCTTAGCAGGGGGCCCTCAGAACATCTTGGAGAGTACGGCAGAGTACAGACAAATCAGAGAGTCGATTCCTGATCCAAAACCCAGAGAAAAGGGGAGGCAGGTAACAAGAGAGAGAGCACACTGCTGCTCACAGGAGAGGGCCTGGCACACAGCAGGCACCCCATACAAGCTGGCTGGATGGTATGGTAATGGGGCCCAAGTGAGTCCTTGATGGTCCACCCACTACTCCTACCAGGCCCCAGCTTCAAGGTTCGAAGCAGACTTAGCACATGGAGCCAGTTTTCCTGCTGTAAAATGGGAGGCGCCTGCATCCCTCTGCATCTTCTCTGCAAAAGGATGCACAGGGTGGGTGCCGGCCTTTCCCACTGCAACTTCACTTGTGTCTGAGGAGCAGCCTGGAGATGCACTGGGGTCCCTGGGGAAGAAGGCTGACAGCTCCTCTCCAGATAGGCAGGTGGGCGCCAACGCAGGGATTATGGAGCTGAGCCTCTTCCCTGCCCCCTGCTCCCCCACCTTGAGAAAGGCAGCTACTTCATCAAAGCGTGAGTTAATTAGGGCTGTCTCTGCCGTCATGTGTCTGAGGAACACTCACCCACAACAGGCAGGGTCTAGGAAAAGAAGTCGACCACGCTGAGAAATTCACACAAACGTCAAACACAGTCTCCCAAGGAAGGGGGGCTGTGAGGCCCAACATCTCATCAGCCTCAGGGAACAGCACCTAGGAGCCCCATCCCCAGTGGGCCTGCAGAGCGGCACAGACAAGGCCCTCCAAAGACGTCATGTGAAGCTTCATCCTTGTCTACAGATCTGCTGAGAACAAGACCCAGAAACAATGACCTGGCTAACCCTGAAAGACAAGCTCAGAGCTCAGGAGCAGAGGGGCCTCCAAGGAGACCCAGCCTAAGCAGCTCCCAGAGTAGCAGCCCTGTCACTAACTTGGGCAGTATTGGGAGAGGGGAGAGACATGAATAATACTGGGACTCTGCCCACCCAGGTTTCACCTGGCAGAAGGGGAGAGAAGATTCAAACCCCAAAGGGAACCACAGCACAAACAAGAAAACAAACTACCAGGGGCAAAAGGCGAGGGCACATACTGTGTAGGCAAATTCCTAGGATCCTCCAGGGAAAGAATAAGCCAATGGGAGTAAACAAAAGATGCCAAAAGCCAAGAAGATATATGGCTTCCCCAGCATTTTGTCTATCAGAGCCCCAATGTGAGTTAGAAAGGGCCAGAAAGCACTGTCCTAGGAAAGATCTAGAGGCAAGGCACTGTCCAGGCAGTTGCTCAGAGAAGCCCCACGTGCAGAACAGATCCTTGGGGACACTCAGCCTGTTCTCTGCCACTCAACACTCAACAAGCCAGGCTCCACACATAGGAGAGACACCACACCACCGTATTCTACTTACAGGTTTCAGAGTGAATAAATGAACGGCTATGTAATTTTTAGGCTGTACCAGGTGGCTCTGAACCTAAGGTCTGTGGGGGTTCAGAGAAAGAATGTCTGGTCTGGAAGAGCCAGGAGGGCTGCCTGGAAGAAGAGAGACTGCAGAAGACTGGAGTACAAGTGAGGAAGACAGCCTGTGCACCAGAAGACAGGCATGTGCTCAGGGAACAGCATGAGCATGTACAGAGAGGCAAGCAGACCATTCAGTGGAAGGCTGCCCTGAAGAATCATAGAAAATGGGGCTGAGGAGTGCAGCTGACTCCTGACACAAGGGCAGGTCAGGCTGCGCCTGAGGATGAGGAGACACAGGACCCATACCCTGCCCAGCAAGCGGAACCTGCTCCTGCTTCTCCTTCCTCGACACACGCAAGGCAAAATGGGGAGTTGGAAACAAGCACTTCTAGGGCATAAAGACACAAGAGAGGGCCCAGGAGAAGGGCCTGCCTCAGGACAGTGACCCCAGGGTGGGAGATGAGCTGGAGGGACACTCTGAGCCAGGCTCACGATTCCCAGGTCAGGCCGACTGTTACGTGGTGTGTGTCGGTATCTGCCCAGCATCCTTTCTTCCTCACCAGGCACTGACACCCCTTTCTTCCCTTCCACTGATGGCTGCCTCTTCCACTCCTTGTGGTCCTGAGGGGGCAGGTCCCAACCCCGCAGGGAGGGCTTATGGCCCAATACTGGCTCATCATATCTGCACCCCACCAGGCCCTCCGTTGGTTGCCAAGGACTGGCAATCAGAGCTTTTCAGTCTTCTACACTGGAGTCAGGACAGAGAAGTTCTCTTCTTCACAAGGTAGGTAGGTTGCTGTAAGCCAGAAGCACCTATAGCCATGCCAATAGCAGCCAGGTCCCATCCCAACCCAAACCATCCCCATGGAGGGAAGCCATTTAGAGCAGGAAAGAATAGAACTCAAACAAAGGAGAAGTAAACCAGAGAGAAAAAGGGAAAGCCTGGTGCCTTTTGCCACTTGCGAAAATCACTTTCATAAGGCAATGAATTTACTTTTTCACCTGCAGCAGAGTCCTGAAAACTTGGGTAAGTAGAGCAGGACCATGGGCCAAATGTGGGCCTATGGCTGAGTGGGGCCAAGTGCAGCCTTAGCAGCCCTGGGCCCACACCCTGACTGGCGTAAATGAGGGAACTCACGAAACTCTGAGCTCTACCCCAGGCTTCAGGGCTTCAGTGGCTCCACGGACACAGCAGGGGTTCCATACAATACCCTTCCGAAAAAAGGCTTTTAGCACCACCCAGTCAAAGAGGCTGAGGAAACACATCAGGAGGGTAGGAAAAACCAGGCTAGCATTTCCAGATGGCACTCAGTCCATCCAGGCAGGGACAGCAGAGAAGGGCTTTTCTTGAGCAATCTGCCCTAGAGGGGCAGACACCAACATGCTCTCAGAACCCCTCTCTCTCCAGGCAGCTCAGCCTTGGGCTCTGAATGCTCACTGCTATGTTTTGGGGGAAGAAATGCCCAAAATAGCTCAGAGTGAGGTCTACAGAATGTGCCAGGGTGAAAGTCTGGAGAACTCTTGGTGAGAATCCTGTAAACAATGGCTGATGACCTTGGGCAAGACCCTTCACTTCAGTTTCTTCACCTGTGAGGCAGAGCTAAAACTACCTTGAGTTAAAGATAGAATAGCTAATGAGTGCCAAAATGCTAGACAATACATTGTGACTGAAAGATTATAATTATAGTGGGTTTGCTACACAAAGAGGCCAGACCATATCCTTGAGAACACTGCTTTTATTCACCCCAGATGCCCCAGGCACATGTATGCTGGCCTCATCCCCCTCCTAGCCTATAGACTCAGGACCGGAGCTGTGGCCTACGCCTGAGGGTGGGGGTAGGGGTGTCTTGCTGGCTGGAAGATGGGTGTCCTGACAGCTGGGGATGTGAGTGAGTTGGAAGGGCAGGGGCCTGGCACGCCTCTCAGCGACATCAGTGGCGCTGGTGTGCTCAAAGTCAACAGAAGGATATTAAGGACGTAGCTCGTCTCCAATGAGATAAATGAGAA